GCGGGTTGCTTTTCCGGGGGGGTAATAATCCCTGCAAAACAAAAATAATAATAATTCGGTCACTCGATCCACGGCTGTTTGCGGGGACGCCGCCGTGCGCAATCGGCTGCCGCGCTCCGCCGCCGAACACACAGTCGATTCGCTTCACGGCGCACCCCGTGGAGGCGCTTCGAGGCGTCTCGAAGACGTGACGAGGCGCTGTGTCGAATGCAAGGATCATTATTATTACATTATATTGCAAAATACACCGTCACTTTGCTTAACAGGACAGCACTTTAATGATCTGCGTTATTAATATTCTTATTATTATTGATATTATTATGATTCTCTGAGGCTCGTGGCACCACGCACTCACTCACACACACACACACACACACGCACACACACACCAGGTGTTCAGCAGCGTGAGGAGAGGGAGATCTTTCTCCTCCCCGCGCGACACGGCCCGCGATCGAGAACACAATTGATATTCACCGCGTCTCCGTGTGAAGCACAGCTGCGCCTCAGACGCCAGACAATTACTCAACGTGCGCTGACAAGTCAGACGTTATTAAATATTTACACGCTTCATTCTCGCCCCCGCAAACGGAGCCATAACATTAACTTATAAATCGGCCGCAGATTATTCAGTTATTTATTTGCTTGTTTGTTTGTTTGTTTGTTTGTTTTTTGCCCCGTTCAAAAAAAAATACATCACGGAGCCTTTTAGCCTAACGCAGCGTTTTTCCGCACCAACAACGAGGGCTTGCGGGAGGGAGGGAGGGAGGGAGGGAGGGAAAGGTGGTTCGAAGACGGGTCGCGAGAGAAGATCTTGAAATCGCGCGCGTGCGGCTAAAGAAAAAAAAGAAAGAAAAAAGGAGGAAAAAAAGACCACGTGTGATTCCATTTTTCTCCCTATAAAAACTAATTATAGATGATGAACAGAATCAGAATGAATGGCCCTTCTGTGCGCGGCAACGATTTGGCTTTAATTGTTCATTACACAGCCCGTCTTCACTCCATTAATTTCATATCGCTCCCGCGCAGAATAGATGGATACAGACTCCGCCATCAGCACACGGCCTCGGGGCCTAACCTGTTGTCCATCGGTCCTTCTCCCCTCCGGAACGCCATCCCGCAGTCCCTCTGCCTCGCCCTCTCTCCCCCACCCATCCCTCCCTTCGCCCCCTTCCAGATCCGTCTCGAGATCCTCCGCCTTGACTGGGCCTCCGGTCGCCCTCCTTCCCTCCGCCCTTCACCCCCTCCTGATCCCGACCCCCAATTCGGGTCCCAATCCCCGACTGTCCAGCGCCCAGGGACGTCCTCCTGACGTGAAAGGTGCCGTGTGTGAATGTCATTTGCGGTTGTTGACGCCGTCCAAGGCGTTAAACACGCGCCAACTCCCACGCGTGTGTGTGTGAGTGCGTGTGTGTGCGCGCGCGCTCGTGTGTGAGTGTGTGTGCGAGTGTATGCGTGAGTGTGTGTGCGTGTGTGTGAGTTTGTACGTATGAGGGTGTGTGTATGAGTGTGAGTGTGCGTGTGTGTGTATGTGTTTGAGTGTGTGTGTGAGTGTGTGTGTGCGTGTGTGTGTGTGAGTGTGAGTATGTATGATTGAGTGTGTGTGTGTGTGCGTGTGTGTGTGTGTGAGAGTGTGAGTATGTATGTATGAGTGTGTGTGTGATTGTGTGTGCGCGAGTGTGCGCGTGTGTGTGAATGCGTGTGCGTGTGTGTGAGTATGTATGATTGAGCGTGTGTGTGCGCACGCGTGTGTGAATGCGTGTGAGTGTGTGTGAGTGTGTGTGTCAGCCCCGCGCTCTCAGTCAGAAGAGCGTCAGGAGGTTGTGGGTTCAACATCTCAAAATGCTGTCCGGGCAGTTGGTTGCCACGTTTCGCCCACAGAGTGCGCAGTCACTCCAAGTCACCGCGTGTCCTGCGAAGCGCTTTGAGACGTCTCGATGGTGCGATGAGGCGCTACATCAAATGCAACGATTATCATTATCATCATCATTATTATTATTATTATTATTATTATTATTATTATCACCATCGACCGTGGTAACTGTATTTGTCTCTAACTGACCAAGACGATAAAGCCGGACATATTTTTTTTTTGCTGCAGTCGCGGTGTTGTTGTGTACCACGATTTCAGAGCTCCTCTCGCTCGTCTCCAAATCCCTCCACGCCCTGGTACCTCCCCCCTCCCCCCTACCTCCCTCCCTCCCTCCTCCCTACCTCCCCTCCTCCCTCCTCCTCCCACCTCCCCGACCTCCCTCCCTCCCTCCCCGACTTCCTTTCTCCCCCCACTCCGCTCGACCGCTCGGCTCCGGCCTCCTGCTCGCCCCTCCGCTCCGGCGACTCCACCGTCGCTACCCCCCGAAACTCTTGAACTCTCTCCCTCAGTCCCCCTCCACCCCCACTCCCGCCTCGCCCCCTCTCCCTCCTTCCCCTCTTTTAAATCACCCACGAAGAACTTCCTCTCCGACCGGTGCTTACGGTCACTCATTCCCTCCCTCCTCCCTCCCTCCCTACCTCCCTCCCTCCCTCCCTACCTCCCTCTCTACCTCCCTCCCTCCCTCCCCGGCTCGGGGTCAGGCTCCGCCACTGTCACAGCGCTCCGAGAGGCTGCCCCCCGGCGTGATTGTGTGAGCGGCAAATCGTCGTTGTCGTACTAACCCTGTCCCGAGCGACCGTCCACGTTTCTGAAACGTTAAGCGCATTTTGACGCAGCGACGGCTCACAGAAAGGGAGTGTCGACGGCCGAGGAACGGTCGTTTCCGAGAGGGAGAGAAAGAGAGCGAGGGGGACCGAAAGGGATTGGGGAGCGTAGGGGGAAAAGATGGAGAAGCGGTGTTAGGAGGATAAAAGGGGAGGGTGGGGTGGGGTGAGTGGGGGGGGGGGGGGGTGACCGTGAACAGGAATGTCTTGGCGCGACCTGAAAATGGGGGAAGGAAGGAAGGAAGGAAGGAAGGAAGGCGTATACGTATACCGAAGATCTATAATACTAGTAGTGTCTACTGCTACATCGCCCTAACTCCACCGGACAG